TGTATTGTAGTTAAATCTGTGTCCACTCGGGGGGATTTTACCTTTAAGATGGAGAGATTGGAAGTTTATACATTGATCTTTATACCGTCAAAAATGTATATCAGCATTCTCTCTCTCACTTTTCTCAAAAGCTACATTTTACTTTGGTAATCTAATCTCTTTTTTATACAGTTTTCCTTTATCTCTGAATGTGCTCCAGATATAACACAATAAAAGAAAAATACATCAATCTAGCATATTTTTACCACAATAAAAGCCTGGGAATGATGCAGGAATGACTCAGACCACTAACATAGTGTAGTCTTAAGCCTTTTCCACTGCGTATTAATTAAAAATATCATTCGAGAAGTAGAACTGTTTCCAGTGAAAAAATCTGGCACTGATGTTGCTTACATTTGCAGTAGCAGGGAACAGGAAGCTGGATGTCTGAAAATTTACAGGATAATGGTGGTGATGGATAGCAGAGACTCCATAAATAGAAATCCCACTGAATAGGCACCAAAGACCACTTTCATTAATCTTAAACAATATATAAATTAATCCAGGAGTCTGTTCTGCTAAAGAAGGGAGGAGACATTCTGACAGAGTATTTATGTGAAGAGCTAACCCAGGAAGACCCGTAATGTGTCCCGTTATCAGCAGTGTCATTTAAAATCAGCACACACATTTAGCATGACGATGTGTTGGAGGCTCTTAAAAGAGCAAAAATGTGTAACATTTTCACAAGACTTTTGGAAATTCAATATTTTCATCCAAGGTAACACCTTATCTAGCAAGAATTATTATAAAACCTAACCTGAACTACGCTTAAAACATTAAAATAAACCAATTCAAATGAGAACCTATTTACAGATTTAGCCCTTTTTTCTTTCTTCTCATAAAAAACTTAAATCATGTTCTTTATTTTTTGCTGTGATATGCAATATATACTTTTTCAACATTATTGAACAGATGGACAGAAAATGCACAAAACACTTACAGTAAAATAACATATAAAATAAGTACAAGAAACAATAGTACAGAAGCAGTTAAAATAAAAAGATTAATTAATTTAGATTTTGACACCACTGCACTATTTAGTTAAATGAGGTGTACAGCAAAAATGTATACATGACCAAAATGAAGTTAATTTTTCCTTGATTTGAGCAGTAAGGAGGAGAATTGCCATTGGAAAAAGGTGATTTATGTTTAAAATTAGAAAATACAAGTTCATTATCTTATTTCAAGTGCATAACATTTAATTGTCCTATTTTAAGAGGAAAACAGTCCTTCCATTGTCAGACCATCTTATCTACCCGTCAAAATAAAATACAGTTATTTTACAGTTATCTTATGAGGTGTTTAATTATTTTTGAATGGGTTTTGCTTTGTGGAGAGCGTGTAAGGAAATAACAACATCTCCTTTGCCTTTAGGTCTAAAATAGAATTTTAAAATTAGAATTAAAATACACAGGATTCTGGGTAACTGATGCAAATTTTGTTCACCCACAAAGATTATAACGGCTTCATCTCTCTTTTTGTCATGATTTTATCTAAGGCTCGGACCCACATGCAGTGAAGCCAAACAGAGAGACACAGATTAAAAGTTCAACGGGTTTTATTGAAGGAATATGAGCTCGGTGCAGAGTGGCTCCGAACTCTGCTTAGCCGGAACTGGAAGACGAGGGGAAGACAGACTGTTAGTTCAAGCTCAGTGGGAAATGCGACTAGTTGATCTTGAAGGAGTGGAACTGTTAGTTGACACACGTTTCCAGAGTGGAGAATCCTTGACTCCAATCTGTGTGTTGGTTAACCAGAGTATGTTTGATTTGGTGGAGGGCGGAACAGGATTTACCCAGAACTCGGACGGTGAAGATTGATGCAGATGCTGGTTGCCACTCAGATTTCCTGTGGTACTTGAACGAGTCGTGGTGAAGATGATTTCCTTACTCAGAGAGTGATTTCAACAATCTCAAAGGTGGCTGGATCCAAACCTCCTGTTTGACTCCGTTGCTCAGTTTAAGGCTCAGTTGATTCCTCCTGGGAAGGGCGATCCGGAAAGGTCCAGTTTGCTGCCGATAGGCAAAGACAAAAAACAAAGTTGAAGCTCAAAATCTAATCTCAAAACTCAGATTACATTCAGCATAAACTCTGCATAAACAAGGCTTGGCTAGAGTACCCCAAACTGGCAAACACTCTGACGTCGAGGTAGTGGCAACCAGCAGTTTAAGAGCAGTCCGGTGATGAGGTAACTGTCCGCAGGTGTTATTCTCCCTTCCACTTCCTGGTGGTGGAAGGGAGAATAACACAAAGACAAGACAGACAAACACAAAAACTGGAGTCCTGACACTTTTAAGCCTCTTTTCATGTTCTAATAATATTTTCTTTTCCTGTAATTCTTCCTTTTATATCTTAAAATTTATCACTTACGGACTTTGAAATTCTTTTAAAAAAATAAAATAAAAATTCACACAGCTAAAAAAAAAAAATCTATTTTATTAATCCGATTGATTGATTTTTGATTGATTTTTGGAATAAACATCTAAATTTGTAGCCAAATTCTTAAACATGGCATTTGCTCAAAGAACAACCATAATGGCGCAGTAATTTAGTCCCAATTGGATAACAAATGTATACATTTTCCATGGAAAGAAAACTTTTCCTAAACACGATTTTCTGTCCAAATAGCAATGAATTAATTCTATCAAAAATAATAAATAAATAGAAGTTAAAGTAATTGAGACCATACTCTACAATAAGTCCAACAAAACAGGCTGAGGTGGGTGTGGAAAATCTTTTGATGTTAAACTTTGACCCTAAAGGACTCATCTGTTCGGGTTCTAACGAAAAAGACTAATAAATAAGTAATAAGTAAATCAGTGTAGTAATTTAGTAACAGTTGGATAACAAATGTATATATTTTGCACTTAAGATGGAGAAAAAACTTCTATTACACAGGTTTTGCTGTCCAAATATCAATTAATGAATTCTTAAAAAAAAAAAAAAGTAGTCAAGTTAATTGATTAGAAAAGAATAAATGATTAGCTGCAGCCCTTACTCTATAAGTTCAATAAAACAGGCTGAGTTGGGTTTGGAAAATCCCTTGAAGTTAAACTTTGACCCTAAAGGATTCATCTGTTCAGGTTGTAAAGAAAAAGACTAATAAAAAGTAATGCCAGAAGCACAGAACTTTTGTGTATACAAGTTTCCCTTAATTTGAGCAGTAAGGAAGATGATTAACCAATGGAAAAGATGATTTATGTTTAAAAAAAGCAAGTACATTATCTTATTTCATGTGCATAATTTCAAGTGCACTTCCACTACACAGGTTTTGCTGTCCAAATATTAATTAATTAATTCTTTAAAGTTGTAGGGAAGCTGCTGTTCCAACTAGAGTCCTGCAACGGATCGGGTACCCCGACGGCTGTCACCCGCTAAAATGCTCTTTTGCGGGTGAAAAATACATAAATAAAAATAAACGGGTCGGGCGGATATGTTTTTAGTGCGGGCGGGTAGTTGGTGATTTTTTTTAATGCGTGTGTGTTGTTATGGACATCAGAAATGTTATATTAATCAGGCACTGGGGTCACCCTTGTTGTAGCTTAAAGCCCTGCCGGCAGTGTGGGCTTCCCTCCAAAAAGGCCACAGTCTACATGTCTGCTGCAGTGTTAATGGCGCTGTTCTGCAGCGCAGCGTACTATAGCCTATTACTTGATGTGTTAACGGGTCGTGTTGCGGGTTAAATAACAACGGGTCGGGTCGGGTTCGGATTTGAATTGAAGATATCCGCGGGTGACGGGTCGGGTTCTGTAGTCATCCTAACGGGTTCGGGCGGGTACGGGTTGGTAAAACTCGACCCGTGCAGGACTCTAGTTCCAACCGCTGCAGAATTCTCCCGAGTGGTGCACAACTTTACATGAGTGAATAAAATGAATGTAGTTGGTTGATGATCGAAGGGGTGGGATTGTTGTGGCGGAAGGTTTGCAAGCACTTTTGGTTGTGGCCGGTTTGTCGGAAGCATCTTGCTAACCAATTAGCAATTTAGTGCTAGTAGTTTCCCAATAGAAAATTCCATTGGCACCAAGTAGCACTAAAGTAGCACTAAATTGGTGACTTAGAAACGACACTGTCAAGGAACGCTATGGACAGAGGAAACATGCAATAGGAGGAGAGTTTAGTGTCGGAGGTCGTGGATGAGTCTCCTCCATCTTAAAATTTTATATTTAGAGGAGGAAAGCGCGGACGAAGATGTTGTGGAAGAGGACGCCAGGGCGGCAGAAGCTTGGTTTGGTGTAGAAGGCTTCCAGCCGTACATGTTTGAGCCCTTGCCTCGCAACGCTGCCAGTTCAGTTAGCTCTACGCCTGCTGAAGACGCAGCAGGCGTGAACACTGCGAACACTCAATGGGAAAGGAAATGACTCTTATTTCAACCGTTGCGTATATTAGCTGCGACATATGAATCAAAGATGCTATGACCGAAAAAATTTTGATTGACAGATAACCGTTGATATATGATTGGCCGAATTTAGGCGTTCAGGCTGACGTATAACTAACTGGCCCGCAGAAGATAACACAAACAGATTTTAAGACTGGATTTTCTTTTTTATAGAAATTTTCTAAATTTTAGGACACTATTGTTTGATAAAGAGTACATTTATATACATGTTTATGTCAGAATGATTTGACATTTAAATATGACTTCCATATGACTTAAGTTAGGTTAATCAGATGCATCCCTTACTTCACAATAAGTTTTAAAAAACTGAGGTTGGTTTATGCAGAAAACCCTTTGAAGTTAAACTTTGACCCTAAAGGATTCATCTGTTCAGGTTGTAAAGAAAAAGACTAATAAATAAGTAATGCCAGAAGCACAGTACTTTTTGTGTATACAGTTTCCTCACAGATAGTCCAGCTTCATTATTGATGCAGAGCCTGATGGTATGGAGCCATATATGGCAGTCTATATATAAATACTCTGACGCCAGTATCGCCGCGCTGCGTTCTTATTGCATTGAGTTATTTATCCTCTGCTGCGCGCGTCCCCAAACCCTCCAGATGAAGCTGCAGAGCAAAACCGCTCTAGTCCAGGTTTTCATTTCTATCTGTTTGGCAAATATGAGTTGAATACTAGACAGCAGCTGATCCGCCGGTAAGGGACGCTGCCCTGCAGGCTGCTCCTCACTCCTCCGCCTCTTTTCCACTCTGGCCGCTCCTTTACTCCTTCCCTCTGCACACCGAGATGTGATGTTCAGCGCTGCCAAAGGAGCAGAGGGCTTTCGCCGGCATTTGGACTACCTCATTTTTATTAATTTTTTATTGGTCGCTTCAAATGTGAAGCATTATGACCGAAGAATCGCGATCAGAATGCGTTTCATTTAAGGACACTTTTATAAATAACCAGGAGAAACGCGGAACTTGATCGGTGCGTTTTTTTTTTTTTTGCGTTTCATGCGCCCTGAGAGATTCTAACTAAATAGTGAAGAAAGGTGCATGAGTTAACGGGAGGAAGAGGGGGGGTGGTGGGGATGTGGGATGAGGTGAGAGGAAAAAGAGTGATCACCTTCCGAGGATAAAAGGGAAAGAAAAAAAAATCCGGAGGGCGAAAATGCAGTTTGAGACATTGCGTCAGTTCTGTAGCTCGGTTTTATCACATTTCAACGGGGCTTTCTCTGCACCTCAGAACATCCTCCAAGCGGAGCTTTTCGAGCAGGCGTTGGGCAGCATCGGGTGAGTGATTCCTTTCACAGAAATGCCCAGATTTCTAAGGAAGGGCTTCCCCTGTCGGTATGGCAGTGGGTGGGGGTTGTTGCGTTTATGGATCGCATCCAGCCTGCGTAACAGCAGCCTACAGTGTAGGACTGTTGCTGCTGCAGATATTACCCGGCTTGGATCAGACACTTTCCGATCTGTGCACCTTTACTGATTGAGATTTTCATTTTACAATGAAAGGAGGAGATAAAGGTATAATGATTCGTTTGGGTGGAAATATCCGGTCGTAAATCTGGTGTTTGGCCCCAACGCATCGCTGCAGCAGCTCTGTGTGCCCCCCTCTGCTGCTCCTGCTGCTGTGCCTCACAGGGAACATACCGGTGCTACGGCAAAATCTGCCACCAATCACATATTGGGACTGAAGTGTCAGCTGGGACGGATTCTCCCCACCAGTCTGCTGTCTACTAAGCCTAAATTCACAGCAATCGCAGCTAAACCTAATGTCACAAAACTAATACATTAACCTTAATAATGCTATGGAGAAATACACGAGAGCGCCCCCTTGGGTCACAATATATAATGGGTCACATATTTGAGTGTAACACCGGGAAGCACATGCACTCAGTGGTGGATCTACACCAAATGTACCAGGGGGGCCAGGAGGGGGCCAGCATGTTTTCATGGGGAAACAGAAAAGCATGAAATAAAAAACAGGGCAAGGGATTCAAATACATTAACATAGCTGCATAAATTGAAAATTCTATTCAATTAGGTTTAATTAAAATTCTATATCTAAAACTGGGATCCTATCAATACCACTGATGCTATCACCGTATTGTTTTTAAATAATTAGTAAAACAGAATTTGTTAAGAAAAAAAATGACATAGATCTATAATTAAAATGTCTTTGATTATTATGTCTTCAGTACAGGGGCTGTAACAGGGGCCAGGACATGATTTACAGAGGCATTGGCCCCCATTGGCCCCTAATTAGAGCCGCCTATAGAAATAGATGTTAGCGCCCCCCTTGGGTCACAATGTATGATGGGTCACAGATTTTGTTGTAATACCAGGAAGCACATGGACTCAGTGGCGGTTCTAGACCAAATGTACCAGGGGGCCAGGAGGGGGCCAGCATGTTTTCATGGGGGAACAGGAAAGCATGAAATCCAAAACTGGGGAAAGGATTTGAATATATGAAGATAGCTGCATTAAGTGAAATTTCTATTCATTTAGGTTTAATTACAATTGTATATCTTATTAGCTCAATACGTGCATAATTTAGGAATTTTGCATATCTTTGACTTAATTTAAGTTAAAATGACCATTTTCTATAAAATCTGAATTAGAAATCAAGACAAACTGATAAAAATTAAAGTATTTATTTTTTTTTTTTGAGAAAAACATTTAGCAGATGAAAACTGGGATCCTATGTCAATACCAATGAAGCTATTACCTTATTGTTTATTGTTTAGTAAAACAGAATTTGTAAAGAAAAAAATGAAATAGATCCAAAGGACCTATCAGTAACCATGTCTGTTCCAGTGCACATCATCATTAGAATTTCTTTGAGTATTATGTCTTCAGTACAGGGGCCATAACAGGGGCCAGGACATGATCTACGGTGGCACTGGCCCCCGCTGGCCCCAGTGTAGAACCGCCTATGCATGGACTATTAGGAGTCAAGATCTTAAAGCAAGTGCATGCATATATCTCAGTGCTCCATCCCATTAAAAGCTGTTTCTTCCTCACAATGCTACTAAACTCTCAGTTTAACAGTTTGACCCTTGCCTCTTACTCAGCTTCGCCACAGAGCTGACCTAATGTTTTTTGAGGCCCTGAGTAGAAATGTACACATGCCATTCACTACAAGCTGCTCAAAGCTAATATTATGCTTGAACCACTTTTCTTTGTATTTTAGGGAGACATTATGATGTAGAAAAGCAGAGTGGTGGCCTAGTGGTTAGTGCATAGAGCTTGGAATCCTGATGTTGTGAGTTTGAAACCCACTCCCACAGACTGCCACTCTGGGTCTCTGACCCTTACCCCCGTTGCTCCATGGGTGTCCCATGATGGCAGCCCACTGTTCCCCACCCCAAGGGCATGGGTTAAATGAAGAGGTAAATTTCTTCAATGTGAGATAAATAAAGTTCAAATGTTGTAAGTTTTTACTGAAAATATCTATAAAATAATATTTTTATTTGACCTTTACGACTAAAACATAATTTAATGAGGACACCGACATCTCAGTAGCTGATGCATCTATAAGCCTGTGGTCTATTTTCCCTGAATGTACTTCAGGTCGCATGTTCCGGCGCTGCTCGGTCGTTCTGTCGTCAAGCATTTGGGCCAACCTAGCAAACAATCAAAGTGTTATATTCAAGAAGGAGCTTGTGAATACAGAAAAAGAACAACATTCAGCTTAAATTAGACACCAACGGCAACACCATGTAAAGTGAAGAAAAAAAACCCTCTCAAGTACAACCGTGAGCTAGCAGAAGGAGCAGAACTGTGCTGCAGTATTGTGTTTTGGCCACAGGTGGCAGTATCATTAGAAAACGCGATCATCCATCCATCCATCCATCCATCCATCCATCCATCCATCCATCCATCCATCCATCCATCCATCCATCCATCCATCCATCCATCCATCCATCCATCCATCCATCCATCCATGGCACACCCTCGACAGTTAGCCTGTCCATTGCAGGGCAACACAGAGACAAATAGGACAAGAAGACCACTCACGCACACACTAACACCTAAGGAGAATTTAGAGAGGCCAATTAACCGAACAGTAATGTTTTTGGTATGTGGGAGGAAGCCGGAGTACCCAGAGAGAACCCACATGCACAAGGAGAACATGCAAACTCCATGCAGAAAGACCCCGGGCCTGGAATCGACCCCGGAACCTACTTGCTGCAAAGCAGCTGTGCCCCTGAGCAGCCCAAAACTCCACCATTTGTCTCTAAATTAGAAAAGGCATGTACTTGACCTGTTTTCGCAAAGGTCTTTTTATTTGCAGCATTATAGGAGCTTAAAGGCAGATTTTTATTTACTTTCGCTTGAGGTAGTTTTTAACTTGTTTGATATAAAAAAAGTAAACGTACATAAGAGGAGATGGGAACACCTCGAATAAGTTCTGACATAGCAAATATTTTCCTCACATGGCTGATCAGGTGTTTCTGCTGCCGGTGGTCTGTTAGAACAGCATACGCTGTCAGATCAGCATACATTGTTCTGATACGCACGCACATGCGCAACAGAGAATTATTCCCACATTGAATTTATCAGCGGTGTACCGGAGAGCAAATACATGTTTATTTACTATTTACTTAAAAAGAAAATCAGCTTATTTTGAAGTAGAAACATCTAAGCCAGACATGATTGAAATTTCCGGGATGTTGAGAGAAGAAGCCTCTATAGTAAAAATGAATTAGTATTATATTTATGTTGAATAAAAACTAACACCATTGTGATCTGACAGCGTATGCTGTTCTGACAGAACACTAGCGTCCCATTAGAGCTGCATTTCTCGCTAACATCTGAATAGCATTTAACATCACTAATACATGCTAAGATGATAAAGTAAGTACAGCTTGAGTGATTGCAACAGATTGATTTAAATCTCGGCTCATTACTGATCTGTGGTCAACACTTGCTTGCTAAGTCTACTTCCTGTTCATTACCGCTATTGTTGTATGACGACATTATGCTTTGCATCACCTGGTTAATTTGCTCCAATGAATGGAAACATGTCTACTTGTCATTTCCTTTTTTTCTCTCGACATTTTAAAAGTTAGCAAAAAATTCAGAGAATTGGATAGAAACATGGTGCTAGAAATAGTGTGAGAATTCACTGAAATGGGATCAAAATATGTGGACGCATATAGATTTTACTGCAAAGTCGATAGATGCATGAACATGACCTTACTAGCACAGATGCTAAGCATAGCAGTGCTGTTTTTTGGTATATTCATGTCAGTTGATCATCCCTGGTGCTTAAATTTGTTTTAGGTTAAGAAAGATTAACTAAACGCTATTAGGATAAATTTTTTGCATAAATTGTTACATTTGAGGATTTATATGTTTTTTTTATGGGCCTTTTCTTATAGTCATAGTAGGGCCCTTTAAGCCATTCTGATGAAGTTCTTACAAGCAGCATGCCGTAAAAGGTATCACTAACTGATCTATGTATAAAACACAACAAAAAAGTAGGATTTACTAGATTAGATTATGAGTAGTAACTGCTTTTTAGCCCAGGAAGATTTTGAAGTTAGTTTCTTATGGGCTTTAAGGCTCTTTATACAAAGCATTAGATTAGACTCAGACTTAATTGTCATTTTGTACAAACAGGGTGTATGCAAAAAGAAATTTCGTTCTGTACAGCTCTCAAGACATTTCCATTTTTAAAGTGCAGCAGTGGTAAAAATTAAGCAGCATTGGTAAATATAAACATACGACTGTATATTATTTACAGTTTCCAACAATCAGTTTTTTGTTTTATATAAATGTTATTGTTTCGGTTCTGTTAAGTTTTATTTGAGTTTTCAGTTTCTTGTTGATTCTTGTTTTTCTTTGTTTTCTAGCTTTATTGGTTTAATTCTTATTTTGTTGTGTTTTTGGATGTTTTTGAGTTCTTAGGCTTTTCTTTGTTGCCCTCTTGTCTTGGTTTCCCTTTCCTTCGCTCTTTTCCTTGAAGCCTCTGTTCACACCTGCTCCCAATCAGCTCGTTAGTCCTCCCTTTGTTCAGTCAACCATAAACACTCTCCCTGTGCAGTTCCTCAGTGCTGGTTCCTCGTCTCTCTCTGGCTCCTCGTGCTTGTTTTCCCATGATGTCTCCATGGTTCTGGATTGTGTAACATTCTAAGTTGGATTTTTGGATTCCTGCCTCTGTTTACTGTGATAATTTATTAAATCTTCAAGAACTTACCTCTGCCTCCCTGCCTCTGCATCTGGGTCCTCAAACCTCGCCAAACATTGACAATAAACCCCATTTTATAAAACATTCAGCAGTC